AAAACTGATACAATTATATGTAAAGCTTCAATACGGGCACATAAAACTATCGATTTTGCATTCATTAAATAAACTCCATTAATTAACTAGTCTACAAATAAATACATGGGAGCCCTAAATAACCTAACCACCATCCCAATTCTTAGACAATCTGGTGGTGTTTCTGTAATGTAAACTAGTTCTCTGGATGCCACATTGCAAGAATATTGTTAATAGCGCACGCACACTGTTATCAGTCATTGACATCAGCTTCCAAGAGCTCAAAGCATCTTGGTGAGTTTCAACATGAAAATAAACTTAACAAATCTGCAAAATAATACTAGTACTGAGTAAATAAAAATTAAAGGTTACATAATCAAGTCAGAATGAGGTATTTTACTCTGTAGCTAGCCAAGCAGTGAACCTCCACTTTACCACCTAAGTCACAAAAACTCAACTCTAGGCAGTTTTTCTGAACAACCCAAAATATCTAGAGGTGGCAGTCAAATGTTCCCTAGTCATTTCAATTTATAATTGATTCTACGTAAAGAGCTATCCAGTGAAAAAGACCAGAACTTAGAAAGTACCTGTTTATATATTCCTGCAGCTCTAATTTGTGCCCACATATGCAAACATTTCTGTAATCTCTTACTACAGCTATATTACGAGGGACGTAGCAAAATTTTAGGAAATGTGTGGTAACAGCATGAGACTTTAACCTGGCAAACAATGACTATCTTTACAAGACAACTTTCCAAACTAGAAAATATTTTTTAAAAACACATCAAGTTAAAGACATAATTTTCAAACACAAGGCATGTCGTTATTTTGTGGTTACTTTTGTTACACAAACACTAAACCTTCCTTAGAACTAGAAATGAATATATCCCTTTAAGTGCCAGCAAACAAAACACATAATATAGAATAATTCTGAACATCATCAACCTCTAAATGTTATAGTATAAATAAGCCACCTCTAGAACTGACTTAATAATTTTCCCCTACCATCTACATGCAAACAGACCAAATTTAGGAAAACATACGCTTTAATGGATTTTAAACTACGTTCATTACCCCAAAAATTGAAAATGCTAACTATTTTAATACTAATTATCTCCTTGGAAAGATAGAACATACATTTCTTTTTCAACTTTTTGAATGATTATTTTCAAGAGAGAGTGTGTGCGCGCGCGCAAGCGGGGCGGAGCAGAGAGAGGAGGGGACAGAGGATCTGAAACAGGCTCTTCGGTGACAGCAGAGAGAGAGGCCTATGTGGGGTTCCAACCCACCAACAGGGAGATCATGGCTTGAGCCAAAGTCAGATGCTTAACTGACTGAGCCACCAGGCGCCCTGAGCATATTCTAAAGGGTACACAACAACCCATAACTTCTCAGTATTCCTCGTAATCTTTCTACCGATTAACAGAATGACAGAAAAAGAAGTTTGAATAAAAGTATACTCAGAACAAACTTAAAAATGACGTAAACATACTTCAAAATGAGCAACTGTTACTTAAGCAGTTTTTCCCTGATAAGATTCCCCAGCCCTTCAGCATTATATTACTATAAACATGCCTTACAGTGTATTTCTTCTTTCTATATTTATGCTATATTATTATTACACATGATACTTAAACACACATCCTTATCCAACTGAGAACAAGATTAACCCAAAAGATTTTCAAAAATGCACTAAAAAAAATCACCACAGTTAATTTCTGTTAAAATGCTTCATTTCTAATTACCTTTCAGTAACGCCACTGCAATTAAATGTAAGAATCTTGAATTATTATGTTACCAAAAGACTAATGGTCAGCATGAAAGAGCAAAGTGGTCAAGTTCATGCTGTTTCAAGAACTCTGATGAAGCAACCTCTTGCTATTTTAAAGATATCTTTAAAATGTTACTACAAAAATAATATCCCATAAATTACTATTTTATGTTTTAACCCCAAGCCCTAAGCACTGTGTATCAGATGGCAATCATACAAACAAAAATTCTTTTAAGGACACTAATATAAATGAGTCTTACAAAAACATTCAGAGACTAAGAGAAATCAGCAGTTTGGACACAGTAGCCACACACCCGGAAAAAGAACATACAAGTTTAGTGGCAAGTAAGAGACACTTTAATTAAATGTTTAAAACTTACCAAAGCTCTTAAGTCAAGAGTTATCTTTTTTTAAGCCTACAAATTTGAAGTTAAAAACTTGAAAAAAAATCCAATAATACATATAGCAATAAAAATTTTTGAAAACAGGCAGCGATAGGTACGCTTGTCAGAAAGAAAGAAAAAGGTTATACAAGGTGCAGACTAAATTTGTCTGGGGTGCGGGCGGCTGGACAAAAATAGCAGCTAAAGAGAGAACCCTGGGAGCTATTCAATTCCATCACCTGCCCTCAGGTAAGTAGCCTGAACCAACCCCAACAAAGAAAAGCCAACTCTTGTTTTTAAGACTTTGAGACAGTATGAATTCTGAAACACAGCTCTCAACATTACACAAACGCACACGCACACACACAAAGGGCTGCTGTTCCCCAGGACTGTTCAAAAGATGGGGGAAACTGAATTAATTCAATACTTCCGATAGCAGGACCCCAGCTCATTCATTCTATTCAGAATTCAATTCAAACACAAGGTGCAAGGTTATATAATGTCAAGCTTTACATTACACATTTCGCTGGTAAGTTCAGGCTCAAAGAACTGCACGGGGTTGCAAGCATACACTCTAGAATGTTTTATTTTAACATTAAGACTAACGAGTCTTGCCCTAAATAGGTAGGACCTCACAAGCATGGAGTTACAAAGTAATAAAGAATTTTTTTTCTTCAGCTCACCGAAATACTTAGTAATTCAGCAGACGATCCAGTATTTTATGAAGCCTTAATCCTTCCCCAAAACATAATGAAACTTAGCAAGTTTCTCATTTATAGCACGCTACAGTATTCAAACATCAAGAAAGTAATGCAGGCTCTCAAGACAAAAAATACTTGAAAACGCTGAGTTCTTTAAAATGTAAACACAATAGTGCATAATTACTGCAGGGTTCAGTATTACAATCTGAAATCCAATCCACTGTGAATCTACTAAATATAAGGGTTCTGGGACACGAAATCATCAACTAGTATTTTACACACTATCCACATAAAACATCAGACTCCATTTATTTCATTACCGTAAACCAAAAGCAATCGATTCAGCCCACCTTTTCCAAATGTGTTATCAGTGCAAACAATTTTACCAACCCCCAGTGAGACTGGCAATAATCACTCCACGATAAAATAATGCTCCATACATTGAAATATCTTACTGAATCCTGTGGAAGGACAACTTTGACAGCAGTCAGTTATTTTCCACAAAATATTTTAAATACTCAAAAAAATGTTCAAGGCTTTAATAACTGATGCTTAAATCATTCGAGCTAGTCGCTATTCATTTTTCCAGTGATAATCTTAATGAAACCAATTAATACCTACGTAGCCAAAGTTCAAGTTTTCTGTATCAGTCAAAGGCGCCAGGCTTACTGAAAAGGGTTATTTCTGTTTAGCTTCCTGGCCATTATTTGCGGTTGAAACCCCTTCCCCTTAGTTACTTGGAAACAAAACCAGAAGTTAATTTCAGATAAAAAGAAATGAGGGACCCCTAGACCGAACGACAGACAGAAATGGAGAGCAACGATATAAATGTTTTAAAAAAAAAAAAACAACAACTTAAGGAGTAAAAATCGCCGGGCTTTTCTCAAACTTCCTTCTCAACTCTAACAATAAGGCTAGGTGTCAAACTGGAAGGTACAGGATTTCGGCTTGAAAAGAAAATGTCTAACGGATGCAACACCTATCGCACACGCTCCCAAGTTTCACGGTGCCCGTTAAGAGAGCACACACATGTCGTTCCAGTTCTATTTCGGTCAGGAGGGACAAACTGATGCCGACAGATCGAGACGCCACAGCCTTTGTTCAACAGCTTACGGATGGGCAACTAAATGTGCTACAGGTTGATAAGCGTTTACCAGGCAATGGTGCCTCGGAGCTTGAGAAAGGTACCAGAATGCCGTATGCAAATCACCCTGGACAATTTCTATTGAACACCCTCGAGCTGCACACTCCGAAGGAGAGGCCTATTCATCGCTACTATTTATTTCCATGTTTACCTCTCCTCCTCCCCCCCAAGCCCCCCCCTTCACTTTCTCCTCCCACCCTGTCCCGCCATCTTGGGCCGATAGGAGCAGCCATTACTTAACTAAATGACAGTGCCAACAACTTTGCACTCAAATAAACAGAGGCTGCGCCCCGAATCCCCCCTGGCCTCCCCTCCTCCCGCTCAGGCCCCCCGGGAAACGGGACTCCGCCAAGACACGTTCACCGAGAACTGCGGGGTTTCTAGGGCGAGAGCCCCCCAAAAGTAAACAAGTCACCTAACTTCAGGTAGAACGCAGACCCATCGAGATGCATGTCAACAGCCCGATGCAAAAAGTCTTCACCGCCCCCCAAACTATAGGCAACTTCCCCCTTCTGGGAGCAGGGACCGCAGGAAAGCCCAAAACGTTTGGTGAACAGCCGACGCTTCGAGCAGCCTGCCCGAAGGGAGAGAATAAAAGCCCCCCGGGAGGCCAAGAAGTCCCAGATCGCGGGGCAGGGGAGCTGCACACATCGGCACCCCCGGGGCTCCCCGGGCTACCTCCAAAGAGCCGTAAAACGAGAGGCGGTTCCGGCGACCCGCTGGAGCCCAGCCCCAAAGCGCCGCTGCCTCGGGTCCTCAGGCTGCGAGCGGAGAGGGCGATTTCGCAAGGGGGGGGGGGGGGGGGGGGGGGGGGGGGGGGGGGGGGGGGGGGGGGGGGGGGGGGGGGGGGGGGGGGGGGGGGGGGGGGGGGGGCGCGCGAAAGCAGGAAATAGTTTCCCGGAAGCCCCTCGGCCGTCGTTCGCGGCCACAATGAACGCTGGCCGGGCCGCGGGGCCCGGGGCGAGCGGGGCTCCGGCCGGGGAGACGGGGTCCGCGCGCCGGCCCGCGGCCGCCTGCCTTACCTTGCCCAGCAGGGCCTTCGTCCTGGCGCCATCTTCATGAAACCTCACGAACCCGAAAAGGCGGCTGCGGGGACAGACACACGCGACTCGTTAGGGCTCCGGGAAGCGCCAGCGACCCACCCCTGCCCGCGCCCGAGGCCCCGGCGGCGCGGAGAGCGCCAAGCCGAGGCGCCCGCCCCGCCGCCGCCGCCGCCGCCGCCGCCGGAGGCGAGCGGCGCTCGGGCCTCCCCGGAGAGCGGCGCCGGCCCGTCCGGAGCCGACCGGGACGGGTGACGGCGGCCCGTACCTGTCCAGTCCGCCGAGCGCCTCCCTCTCCTCGGCTGTCAGGCTGGGGGACGCCTCCTCGCTCTCGCCGCTCGCTTTTCCCGCCGCCATTTTCTTTTCCTCATCACCGAAAGCGGCGGCGGCGGCGGCGGCGGCGGTAGCGAGCGACACTCCGCAGGATTTCATGGAAACGCAGCGAATTCACAACTCCAACGCCGACACCCCCCCCGGGCCGGGGCCCGCAACGACGCCCCCAAATCCCCGCGCGGGACCGGCACACCAACTTTATCGCCGCCTCCTCCTCCGCCGCGGGCGGCGGCGGCGACGAAAAATCCCAACGCGGCGGCGGCGAAGGCGGCGGCGGCAGGGGCTGCGGAGCCCCCGGGTCGGCAGCGGCGGCGGCTCGGCTGTAGGGTCACATCGCGGGGGCGGGCGGGGGGGCGGCCACAGGCGGGGACGGCGGGAACGGCCGGAGCGCGCGGGGCTGGGGGACGGGGGGGGATTCGTTGGAGACACAAACTTCCCCGGCACCAGCACAAAGTTGTTGTAATTGTGTCACACAGCGAACCCCACGCCGCCGCCGTGACCCCCCCCCTCCGCGCCCGGCCGGCGCCACCAATCGGCGCCGCCCGCCCGCCTCACGTGACCTTTGTTGACTCACGTCAGCCGTGGCTCCACTCAACTTGCTAGCGGCCGGGCCCCGCCCACCGAGGCCGCCACCGACGGGGAGCGGGACGTAGGCCAATTCCGGCCCGTGGTTGGCTGCTGCGCCCGTCTGTCGAGGGGGAAGGGTTGTCACCGAGAGGCAGCAAGCTGTTAGGTTGTGCTAGTTAAATACACTGGGGCAGAGAATGGAGGGTCCGGGCCGTGTCACTTCGGGAGCCGCGGCGGGCTCGGGAGGGGGAGGGGAGCGGCAGGGAAGGGCGAGGTCCGGCACCGCCCGCCGCGGGCGTCAGCTGTGAGCGGGGACGCCATGCACGGCCCTCGCCTGCCGGAGAGCTCGGTGGCGGGCCCGGCCCCGCGGCCTCGGCAGCCCCGCGCTCCGGGGGTCCCGGGCCTCACTGGGCCCGGTAAGGGTCGCGGCGCGCGGGCCCCCGACCTCCGCCCTCCGAAGAAGGCGCACACTTTTGGCACCGCTGGAAATAATGGCCTCCGCGAGGAGCGCGCTCCGGGAGCGGCCGCTGGCCCGAGCCGGGCGGCTCGGGCGCCGCCCTAGGCCCGGCCTGCTCTCGGGGCCCCGAGCCCCGCGCTCGCGCCGACGGTGAAGGGGGAAGGGCCTCCTGACCCCCATGGCCGGAGGGAACGAAGAGTCGCCCACGGGGTCTGGCTCGCCGATCACGGCTCCCCACCGCCCAAGGTCTGTTGGCGGCACTTTGGGGCCAAATTGCCATGCTACCTGCGTTTTATCGGTAGTTCATTATAGGGTTGTAAGAAAACTGATGACAGGTGTTAAACAGGATCTCCAGAATGTCGGTTTCTTGTGGCTGTGATCTCGCCGGGGGTGGGGTGTGGGGGGATCCTTCATGGAAGAGTTGGGACTGCTTGTGGACAGGCCTAAGAGAAGATCTTCTCATAGTTAAGATCCTCAACCCAGCTTGCAGCCCAGAAAAGCCTTTTCCACCCCACACAGCACGCCTCAGACAACAATAACACTTTCTTGTTCTGACCGTATCTTGGATGCAAATAAAAGTCACTAGTCGGGTTTTCAATCCCAGGTGTAGTTGGGAGAAAAAGAAAACGTGCCTTTGGTCCATCACTCTTTTCAAAAGACACGTCTCGTATCATCGATCCGTTACAGGGTACACCTCCAGTCTTCCGAGATTGGAAAGTATTAATTAACCAACGTACGAAGACCAGGTTTCCTTTGTGAACGTGGATGCTCGCATATTTCTAATAACATAACCAACAGACAAGATCGGTTTAACTTGGATTTCAAACTGTAAGGAAGACAGTTCAGTGCTGACTCAGTAATCCTGGCAGGATTCAGCGAGAAGCTATGGAAGTCCCAGCTGATTTTGCCCACAGACACGGTTTTAAATTGTTCCCCTGAGACCAGTAACTAGACTAACAAACTGTAGTTTCATATAGATTATATTTCATGTTTAATTACTTTCTCGGAAACACCTCTTCCATTCTTTATGGCGTTCCGTTTTATTTAAACGAGTACAGACAGCAGAATGTTTTCTACAGCTAAATTAACACATGCATTGTTAACTTTGTCGCAAACACAACCTTCCAATCCTGGGAGATTTTGACACCAAGATCCTCTCCACACACGCACTTAGACTTGCACAAGCAGAGAAGAAATTCAGCCAGCATTTGGCCATATTCCTGGGTTTGTCCGTTCTTGACTCAGACGCCTAAGAATTATAAGGCTACCCACCCCAAATTCCTCAAAACGTTCCCACCGTATAATCATTACTAGGTAACAGCAGCAGAATTGCCCTGGGTGGATGCAGTGGGTGGTGTTGGAGTCAGGCGGATCTGGATTCGAATCCTTACAGCACAGGCTGTGTGACCTTGGGAAAGTTACTTCTCCAAACTGGAACGATATGTCTAGTCCAACTACATATATCCGTCCTCCATTATGAAGCAGGAGACCATTTTTATACAATAACATCAATCTTTATATCACTATGTAATTTTTTAAGAACTCGACTGGTTTCTAATGTGTCAAATAAATATATATACAATAGGTATAAAGTCTCCAAGGTTTCAAGTCCTCAGGGGAGGGAGAAATGGTAAGTGAGATAAATGATTCTGTAATCATTTCTATGCAAAGCGAATCTGAAAAACCCATCTGGAAGGCAGAGCAGTTGAACCAAAGGAGCATGAACTGTGAAATCATACAGATCTAGGTTTGAATCCTAACTCTACCACCCAATAGCTGGGTGACCTTACACAAGGGAGCCTCGTTTGAGTTTCAGCGCTCTCATCTGTGGGGAAAAAAAGAAAATCTACCCCTTTAGAACATTATTTTGAATATGAAATTCCATGAGGTAGGTAAAGTACCAGATACCTAATATACATTCAAAGGGCACACACACACACACACACACACGAAAGGTTGGAATTTCTAAAATCTTTTGTAACTTTCACATTCTGGGTTCTAAATGTATTGATCACCACTCTTACCAATCACTGCCTCCTTATCAGCCCCCAACCTCCCTATAAACCCAACACATAGTTCTAATCCACTTTTTCCTGAAGGCATATAATCCCAACATTGCTACATCTCTCCTTTATTCTAATAATCAACCTCATATCGCTTACTACTTACTGACTCTTATTTCATAATTGTAACTTAATACACTGGGAGCTGGAGAAAGTAATTTGAGTTTACCCAGTTGATATGACTGATCTATGCATAGGTAAATCAATATTTTAAGATTATGAGGGGCACCTGGGCCGCTCAGTTGGTTAAACGTCCGACTTCGGCTCAGCTTGTGATCTCACGGTTTGTGAGTTCAAGCCCCGCATTGGGCTGTGTGCCAACAGCTCGGAGCCTGGAGCCTGCTTCAGATTCTGTGTCTCCGTCTCTCTCTGCCCCTCCCCCACTCACTCTCTCTCTCTCTCTCTCTCTCTCTCTCTCTCTCAAAAATAAATACACAAATTTTTTTTAAAAATTATGTAAGTTTGTGTCATGCTGAGTCCGATTCTGGACTAATTAGTGCATAATTTGTAGTTAATACTTCTGTAAATACCATCAATTAATATCAGAGAAGAAGCCCTTTTCAATTATAGGAAGATACAGTTAATTCGTTTTTGAACAACTAAATACTTAACCTGAAGCATTTAGGAATATGTAGTTTATTTATAATGTTAATGTCACAGAACCCATTCAGATAGAAAGTCACACAACAGACTCATGATTTATCTAGTCTTATAATTAGAACTATACTTGTTTTATATTTTAAAAAAATGTATTTACCAGCTCTTCCCATACTCACTAGTGTCATAAAGATTACCCAACTGATATCCAAACACACTGATGACAAAAGTAGATAAGGGTTGAGGGGAGATAGGAAGCTAAATACAGACAGAGTTTCTGTCATTACCAAAGCTTCAGTTGTCGGGGCACCTGGGTGGCTTGGTTGGTTAAGCGCCTGACTCTTGGTCTCAGATCCAGTCACGATCTCACAGTTCATGAGTTCGAGCCCCGAGTGGGGCTCTATGCTGACAGTGTAGAGCCTACTTGGAATTTCTCTCTCCTTCTGTCTCTGCCCCTCCCCTGCTTGCACTCTCTCTCTCCCTCAAAATAAATAAACATTTTTTTTTAAAAAAACAGTTGTCAAAATAATTTTGGGACTTCTAAATGAAGTCAAGACCCCCGTACCCACCAGGAACCTAGACTTCTACCCTCACCAGGCTGTAATGAGGCACCTCAAATCCCTACCACCACCACCCTGGGGAGGCAGGACTTCCACCCGAATCCGGCAGAAATGAAGAATCACTACCTCTCCCGGCTGGGTTGGTGTGACAGGAAGCCTACTGCCCAGCGGTAACAGCACCCTCATGGTGTCAGTGGAAGCAATGTGGGGAGCATTAATGAGGTACTCCCATACCTCCCAGCCAAAGTGGTATCAGTGGGAGCCTAATGGGGTGTCAGAACTCCAGTTATATCCAGCAGTAACAAGAAGACCCTCCCCCTCCACCAGTCAACCAAGGCTGAGTGCAGAACCCGGACTTCCTCCACCCCTACCTGATAGTAATAAGGCAGTGCCTTCCCTTACCCCAGAAGGCCAGAAGAGGCCGGCTAAAACAGAAGATATAGATAAGATCCAGAGTCTCCTAATACCCAAAATGTCCAAGTTTCCATCAAAAATCCTTCATACCGGGGCACCTGGGTGACTCAGTCGATTAAAGCATCCAACTTCAGCTCAGGTCATGATCTCGCAGTTCGTGGGCTCGAGCCCCGCGACGGACTCTGTGCCGACAGCTCAGAGCCTGGAGCCTGCTCTGGATTCTATGTCTCCCTCTCTCTCTCTCTGCCCCTCCCCGCATGCACTCTGTGTCTCTCTCAAAACTAAATAAAATTTTTTAAAAAATCTTTCATATCGGGGCACCTGAGTGGCTCAGTTGGTTAAGCGTCTGACTTAGGCTCAGGTCATGATCTCACGGTTCGTGGGTTCAAGCCCTGCGTCAGGCTCTGTGCTGACAGCCAGCTCAGAGCCTGGAGGCTGTTTCGAATTCTGTGTCTCCCTCTGTCTCTGACCGTCCCCTGCTCACACTGTCTCTCTCTCTCTCTCAAAAATAAATAAAACATTAAAGAAAATTTTTTTTAAAAATCTTTCATACCAAGAACCAGGATAATTGGAGCTTAATTAGAATATACAATCAACAGATGTGAACACTGAGGTGAATCAGATGTTCGGATTATTTGACAAGAATTTTAATTTTTTTTTAATATTTATTTTTGAGGGGGTGACACACATGCACGTGAACACAAGTGGGGAGGGGCAGAGAGAGAGGGAGACAGAGAACCCCAAGCAGGCTCCACACTGTCAGAGCAGAACCCAACCCGGGGCTCAAACTCATGAACAGTGAGATCATGACCTGAGC